TCTCTCACACCTGAAGAAGGCTCCACGGCCGAAACGTTGTGTTCTCTTTCTTCTTTTTTTCAGCATGGAATAAACCTATTACTTGTTCCTTTGCATCTGTTAATAATGTACATTGAAAGGTATGAAGCAGTTAAAATATTCTAAAGCAGTTAAATTATAACTTTCTGCTGCATCTCATTAAATCACAAAAAAAATATTTTTCTTGCTCTGTCTGCATTGAAACCAGCCAGCTTGTCTTATTTTCCTTATGTTCTCATTTTATACATATTTATTCTGTTAGCATCCATTGTTAATTATACACGTGCTATCAGTTGAAAAATATAATAAATGTCTTGCCAATTATTGTAAGATCTTATCTATAATATTTTTGATTATTTTTCAAGTTACCTGTCCAATTAGAACTGATATGCTTTGTAACTCCTTTTTCCTCTTCCTTGTGGTTAAATTGGTCTTGTCAAATGAAAGGGAAAGCTGTAATTTGTTTTAAACTAGTTATTTTGACAAAGCTACCTGCTCATGCATATACAGCATAAGTACATGCGTGGAATACATTTGAATTCTCATTTGCAAATTGTGAATCATCTTCATAGGTTACTATCATTTTGAATGATGTAATTTTGTTTTGCTTTCATATTTACAACAAAGCTTATCCAGTTCCATATGTAATACTGAGTACTGGAGGGGGAACTTGTCATTGTGTTACATGAAGTTAAATCAGAGAAAAATGTTTTTGATATGAATTAATTTCTGATTTGTTTTAAACTAATTGGATATATTGTACTAACACCAACTATTCCTATTTGTCATTCCTGGACTACAAACTGTGGCTGGACCATCATTTATATATGAAACTCCCTCACCACAGGCTGTTTTAATACCTGGCTTTAGGTACACCTTTTTAAAACCTAGATTTTTAAAATTTTGAAAATATTTTGAGGGCATTTATGTGTTCTATACAAATATATATATATATAAAAGTACTGAATAAGCAAAATCCAGGCTTTTAATGATGACTTCAAAATCAAATAGCAGCATCCTGGAAGAGCCAATCTCTGCAAGGCTGACTTGAACATTTTAAGTGTAATCAATAACTGCTGGCTGATTCTGTAGTAGATGAAGGTAAAATAATTATATTTTAGATATAGGTGCTTCAAATGCATTTTTTTGATTTACCAAACAGAGCTAGAGTTGTGAAATTATAGATAGGAAATGCTTTACAACTGTACCCAGCTACTTCATTAAAGAAAGGCAAAGTTTTTAATTACTTTTACAGTATTTTGAAAAAATTCACAAATATTTACACTTAAAAATACTTCAGTTGCATTTACTCACACGACATCAGGGTGCAATGCTTTCTTGTTTGTTTCATGTTCTTTTAACATGCAGAATGGAAAAAAGGACACAACATAAGTCACAATTATAACGATTGACAAAGAAAGTCCACTGGGGACTCAAAAAGATGTTTCCCTGAACTAGTGAGCTTTACAGAAACAAATAACATAACGAAGATATGTTAGATGACACTGGACAGAACACAAAATTATTTTTTGGCAGAATTAAAAGCCATAGTACAGTATGTTTCACGCTGATGCTGGAAAGGGTTGTGAAGGTACATTCTCCAGACAGATTACATTTAGTGTTTTCTTTTTTTTTAGTAAATGAGTAATTGATTGCACAAAAGGATCAGCAAAAGATAGGATTTGCCTTCTATTGTCTATTCAAGCATTTTGCAACTCTTTCACTTCCAGCTTGTACTGTAGCTTTAATCTCTTTTACAAAATCATATACACAACAGCCATTTCGTTGTGACTCCAGATTGTACCATAACAATTCCCTGTTGTGCACACAGCAATTTGCAGACAGGAGATTAGGTGGGTGCTTTTTGTTATTCAGCAGTACCATTGTGGAAGCTTTGTAAAAAATGCTTTCTATCGCTATTAAAGGATATTGCTTTTGGGACATAGTGTACATGACCAACTGTGAAGTTATTGCAGTATTTCCCAATTTAGTTTCAGGTGGGTTTGTGGGGCACCAGCCAGCTGACTGGAAGTGAGAGCTGCAATACATTTGCCTAATTTTAATAGATTATATTATTTTAAATTGTATATTTGAATATTTGCAGTTGTTTCTGTCTGGAGTCTACAGGCTGCTGTAGATCCGCTTGATGATCTCGCCCTCATCTTTCTCCAGGATGCCCTTGTCGATGTAAGAATCCACTTGCTGGTCCATGAAGTCTCTCAGCTTTGACAGATCATAATCTGGAAGAGGCGAGACAAGACAAGGGCTTCATTCCAACCAGACCATCCATCCTTCCATTTTCTAACTGCTTTATCCAAAACAGGGTCAGCAAGAAGCCAGAGCCTATTCCAGCAAGGAATGGGTGAAATGTGGGATACACCCTGGATGGGATGCCAGTCCCTCACAGGCTACACACAGGAATTAGAAATGGATCCCCAGGTAATTGAACACAGCTAACCACTGTGCCATTGTGCCACTCCCAATCAAGACCATTTCTTATTATTTTGTTCCACAGTAAAGTCAAAGATCTAAACGGCAATAAAGAGGCAAAAACTTCAGCCCAGCAAATGTTAATTGCTCATGCATACCTGTCTTAAACCTGGCTTAGGGAGGGACTCTCATTCTGAGAGCAAGGGCAATGAGGAAGAATATGGAGTGAAGGGGGCCTTAGCTGTTTCACCTGATCTTTTGTGTTATGCTGGCATGCTCTGTTTACGTCTATGGGAACAGAAACAGCTTTTTTCCTTAATATTGCCACCTTACATTGCTTTTACATGACCTTACTCAAGATATTCAATTAGAAATGAACAAAAATAACATGTAACATTGCAGTTATTATTCAGTTCTGAAATTACTGAAGAAAGTAAAAGTTGTGAATTCAACTATTGGGAGGCAGCTTGACAGAATCCTGATGAATATTCTTCTTTAATTAGGGTTCTTTTAATTGGCCCTCATACTCGTTCTTGTTTTCCTGTGTCTCATTTGTGTGGGAAAGATTCTGTGTCACACCAGCTGTGGAATAATGGGGTGGATGAGAGAGAAGTAAAATGACAATAAAAACGGATGTGAATTTCAGGCACGAAATCCAGTGCTAAATTATAACAGATAAAACACCTCTGACTGGACACTTCGGTATCGTGATATCCAATTTTCTTCTCTTCTATTTCAATCAATACCCAAGCGAAGAGCTGTCTTTCTCCGAACATTTTTCCTGAGTGCCCTAATGCTTTGCTTGCCTCTGGGACTGATCAATGGTAATGAAACAGGAATCTTAAACACCATTTAGTTTTAACATTTGAAATAGAATGTAAACTAAGAGCAAGAGAGTATTTTGCTATTGTGAAAAGGAACCTGCTTTTGCTTAGATACCCTACAGCTCTGATTAAGAGGGTTGTCTCTGGTGCTCAGGCAGCTATCTCTTTCAACCTGTTGTCTCATTCTTTTTAATTTTACACTGCTTTGATGTAAAAATAGTCTGGTGCCGATTCCAATGCATCATTATTAATAACTAGGGGCTTTGGATGTTCAAATCAGCTTAACACATTGTGGGCGACACCGATGCAGATGTGATTTTTGCCTGGAGATACCTGTGCTTTTAAATACCGTAGATACCATACCAAGTTCAGGGAGTTATGTTTGCCAGTGCATGCGCTTCATGTGCATTTGAATGCAAACAATATTTGGCTCATAAGACATTCATGATGAGTAAGCAATTCTTCCATTAAAACAGGTTTAAACTTCACGGTGCATGTTTATGAAAATGGACTCAGTAAATTTCCATAAAAAGTAATTAAAGAAGTAACAGACATGCTGGAGGCCTCTGAATTTATAGGGAGGGTAGGTCCAACACAACAGTGGAGAGAATAGTGAAGGCAGATGCAGGTAGAGAAGATTAATGCAAATTGCAGGTATGAGGAAAGGAATGAATAAGCTCTATTAAAAAAATGAAGAAAGCTTGTTACTCTGTAATTATGGCAAGCTCATCAAGTCACTGATAAATATTCATGGTGCTTCTGAGTAAACTACTGTAGCTGTTTCCACTCCTCCTGAACACTTATTTCAATTGCAAATTTTTCCCAAACAAAAGGGTCTTTAATTTGGTTATTTTGAGATCTTTAGTCGCTTGCTGTAATGTCCTATGTGTTGTGTGATCCTATGCTGCACAGTAAATTACATAGAATGTCATTAAAGACTAAGGTTAATATTATGCATGAGCTCTATTCAAAACTCAAATCTCTTTAAACAGAACAAATGTAAATTATTAAAAATTATTAACAAATTGAGATGTGGAGAATTACTACTATCGCATTGCAGGCAGCATTGGATGAATGATAACGGATTTGCAGGAGGTCTTTAATATCTGCAAGGTATAAAAGACAGTTATTGTTTAAAGACTTTCACTGCAGTGCCTCAATCTCCACAGGCTTTTCTATCTTCAGGCCAGTTGCACTGGTGTGAAAACTGTCCAAATTTAAAGGGAAAGGGATTAGCAGTATGTTGTTTCAACACTGGTGTAATTATGTAAACATAAGGACACCGAGGTTAACTGTTGTGAATAATGTCATGGGATGTTTAATGGCCAAGTAACTCCAAGTTATGGACTTGATTTTGTCTCTGCTGAAGGACATCTACCTCCTAAAGCACTGTGTCCCCTTTGTCTATTTGTTGGGAACTTGGGTTCAGAGAGAAGAGCACCACCTACTGGTCCATAAGCATCCGCTTGCAGCAGCAATCCGGTTTTCCACAGAGGTCACTCATCTCCGTATTGATCAGAGCCACCCCTGATTAGCTTGTGAGATCTGGCTACAAGATATCAATGCAGCTTTCTATAGCAGTTGTTTTTAAATGATTGAATATTTTTGTCCTGAAGATACCTTACTCAGACTGAACAGATCAAACCTTGCCGTGAATAATCAGGCTGTATAAAGCTAGACCAGCATAATTACAACACAAGGAAACAGCCCTGGTCTCGTAGAAGTGTAAACAGTGTAATACATGCGGCACACTGCCTTTTGCTCTTCAGTTTGCAGGAATGATGCTAATTGCTTACCTTCCTTGTTGCCCTGTTTGTTATGCTTTTTCAGCCACTCAATATTCTTTCTGATTGCCTCCAAATAGGTTTCTGTCTTCCCCGAAGAGCCTGTGAAAGGAAAAGATCTCTAGTGTCAGCTCAGATGGATGTGCCTCTTTCAGTTAAGTAGATTCAATTACAGTCGCAGGCAGCATCCTTTTTCAAGTCTGTTTATTGTACAGTAGCATGAAACCGCAGTTCCTGCAGCAAGGGACCAAACAGGAATTTTTGCTCTCATCTGCAGTACTGTGGCTACAGTACACTTACTGTATGTATATAGAGAAAAATGTACAATAGTTTGGATTATTTCTGTAATTTGTGTTTTTTACTCTCAATAGTATTTCATTTCGGTCTTTTTGGTCTGTGCGTGTCAATGCAAGCAGATTGCACTGAAAGCTTTGATTTTAATCAAGGTGAGTTCTTCACAGGCAGTGAAGAGCTAAAAGTCAGATCACTGTGTTACCAATTACATTGGCTGTTTGAGGAATACACCTAATTAAATATAATCCCTAATCCCTTATTTTTCCATTGTTTGCGAAAAGACAAGAATCAACATGGGTATTTTGTATACCAGGATGATTTTCTTCCATTTTCCGCGGAATTAGATTAGCTTAGTGATGAAAAGAAAGTAATGCGATGGCAGGTGTCCTCATTGCTTTACCTCTAAGTGTTATTGAAATGGCCTGGTTCCGCTCTGATGATGTTGCAGATGGATTTAGTTCACCGTGCCTTGCTCCCTGTGGGGCTATCACATGTAATGAATTCTGCAGCACTGCAACAATGTGGCTTTAGCTGGCTTGAAGACTACTAACATTTTCGAAAAACAAAGTTCTGACCCAAATAACGTTCCTTGAGTAGCTCTTTGCTAACAGGCGCACTGATTATCTATATCCTAAAATACTCTTGTGTTTGTTGTGATCAGAATCAATATCTGTATCTTTTAATAATGGCTTTGGGTGCTTGGACAGGGAAAAAAACAGTGCTTACCTGACTCTGGCACAGCCTGCTCCTCCTTTGTTGAGTCCTTGAGAGATTCATATTCCTTCTCCATTTTGGCCACTTCCTCCTTGGTGTTGTCTTCCTCCTCGCTGGTCTTGTCTAACACAGGCATACAAAAACACAACACTCAGCATCAGAATGCTGCTAGAACAACGATGTTATCAGAACTTGTTTTGGGCATCTTTCTTTTTTAAAGGGTTTATTTTAGAGAACAGATAATACCATTTTAAATGCAGATGACATTACATAACAATCCTTTTATAATACATATGTAACCAATATACAGTACATCACACATTAAAATTTAGTCGATTCTTATCTGTTCTCTTAATATTTTACAATTATTTTACTTCTAACCAAACTATAGATTCAGAAAAAGAAGAAAAAGAATAGAACATACATAAGTGTTTTATGATTTATGAAGAGGGAACAAAATTATGTAGATATATATGCTTAATTCTAGTTTTAGTTATTCTGTGTCTCAACAAATTCAGAGCTTAAGGTTTAATGGGAGTGGTGTAGCATAGTACGGCTGAATTCATAACTGTAGGGTTGTGGGTCCAGGCTGCAGACACTGCTGTTGTACCTTGAGTGATGTACTTTCCACCATTTGCTTAGTTACTCTGCTTATCCTTACTCTGGATGGGAATCCAGTTTCCAGGGGCAAATTAATATTTTTCAGTGCAATAAAAGGAAGAAGTGGAACTACCTTCTTCAATCTCAATGATGAAAACTTGAATCAATAAACAACCTTTACCAACTGCCTACTCAAAGGGCTGAAGCTCATCCCGTTTACCTGTTGGTGCTCTGATGTCTGATGTCACCAGCGACTTGCCTAGTTTATTCTTAGTTTGTAGGGCGATCATGGCATCAAGATTTTCTGAAAAACAAAGGAAAACCATTTATATGTATTGATCACTTTATGTTTTCTTCTTTTCACATGAAAGTTTGAGTTGGAGTTTTGCTCATGTGGTCATGTGTTTACTCACAAATATCCAACTATTACGAACTTACCCGAGTTCCACGAGCAACTGATAAAGCCTTCTATTAATCAGAATGGAATGAAAACCGGAAACCTGCAGGATTTGCAGAGAGGAGTTGTCTAATAACCCAAGTCTAATAATCTGTAGGGTCATAGAGCAGTTCAGTGTAGTTCTTGAATAAGACTTTTCCGAAAAGCCCTCCAGAGAACCATGCAAAGTGACACCATTGTCCTCTCATTCCTCAGCTCCAGGTATTTCTACGTGCTTGTGTATACCCTTGACACAGTTTGAACAGCCTCCTTTTTTACCACCAATGTTGTGGTGCGGAAAACATATTCAGAATGGATTTCTTTGAACAGTGCAATCAACCCAAATGTTCAGTTGTTCAATGTTATGTTGGGACCATGCTCATCCTAAATAAAGCCTTGTCGCTATCAGAGCCACTCAGCAATGGGCTGCTTGCTTCCTTAAACATGAAGCAACGAAGTCTAACTGAACTCTACCATTCATAATCCTTAACTAACTGCGGTTCTCCCAGGAATTATTGTTGCTCCCTTGAGGATGATCTTCTTGAAGCACGAGTCTTGCAATAGATGAGTCATCTTAAACATGGGATCGTAAAGGAACAAGCAAAGCATCAGTTACCAGGCAACATACAACCTTATCTGATGGTTTCCTTTGGACCATCATATTCTGCCATAGAGGTTACCATGGAAACTTCCATCTTACGCAAATCAAACTGAATCAACAGTCTGTTTACAGTTTATAGGTCCATGGCTTCATTATCTACCTTCCCCACAAACAAAAGAAAAGAAGTAGTGATTCTCTTGCACTTTGAAATGGTTGAGCCCATGTATATATTTAAAAGGCACTAGGTGCAGTTGTTTGTAGCATGTGCTGGGATTGCATCACCCTAATTTATAGACATTATTCAAATAGTAAGAAGATGGTTATAGTCTCTAGAAGAACACAACCCCCCCCCAGTAGCTCTGCTGCAGGACACCCAGCTCATGTCGTCAGGTGGATGGTCCATGTACTGTAAATGTGACACTGCTGGCTGTGCACACTAATGTTGTACATCTTGGCACTGAAAGGCGTTAATAGCTTTTTCAGAGTTGCCTACTCCTGCTCAGAATTCAAAATTCAGCATGTTTGTAGAGCATGGAAATCTCTGTACGAGCACCCTCTATCCTGGAGCTCTAACTGTCTGTGAGGCACACCTTACCACGTCAACGGCTTCAGTCACTTCTTTTATATTTGATTTTTGAGAAAACAAATGTAATCTTATTCCCTTTCTTCTTAAATTGTACTTTTCAGATGTTTGGGAAAAGCTTTTTATTTTTGGAAACAGAAGAGGTAAATATTTAATGGGAACCTTTTACCGTCAAAAGTTTTTTTTAAACTGAGCAGTTGGCATCGTTGTTTCCTGCCCTTGCCTGAGGAGATGAAGGTCAGACTCAGAGACATTTATCATCTCTAAACCACCTGACAAGACCGATCATAATGACCATTCAGGATTTATGAAGCGATAATGAGGCACAAATGTCATTGGCTTCTGTAACTGTGTCTAAAACACACATCACGTAAACACTAGAATATTAATCAAGGAGACTTCTTATGTGTCATTTTCTAGTAGAGTAAGTTTAGCCAACACAATAGCTGTATTATGAACTGGCCAATGTGTGTTCCAATATATGGTGGTGTGTAAAACTACAATATTTCATTTGTATTTAGTGTAAAATAAAAGACGAATAATCAACTGATAAGCATCACAGAAAAGAAAGATATTTATACAAAGGACAGGGAATAAAAACAACAGCACAGTGAGACTAATTTCTGAAGAATAAAGACCAGCAAAAATAATGACGAGGGGAGATTAAATTGAACCTACTTCTGTGGAAAAAAACACCAAATAATCTGACAAACCCCAGGCATTAACATCACAAGCAGCTGTGAATAAGCTGAAGGACTTCAAAGCCCGAATGATGCAGTTTAAGATTGCAAATAATAAAGGAAAATAAACTTAACAACTTCTTAAAATGTTGAAATTTAAAGGTGTGTTAAAAAAGTTTTTTTTTTGTAAAAACTGTTTTTTGTATTTGGTTTAGTGCAAAATTAAAACAGAAACAGATGCCAGGCCTTCACTATTGAAAAGCTATTTTTAAAGCTTGCCTTTAAAACAGGAAATACAATGACTAGTCAGTGTGGCAAGAGCAGGCATCCAGGGTGTAAACAGATCTTTCCACTTGAAAAGACAGCCTCCCTGGAGCTAATCATTTCAAGCAGTACAACAGCTAACTGCACCAACAAGATAAGGCAAGGTCCCTGACTACAGGAGATAATGTAGATCTGCTTCCCCAGCACTCAGACAGCATGCAAAAAATAACCTCCTACATCAGCACATGGCAGCATGTAATTTAAAATCAGTCACGCTAACGAAAACGCTTCAGGAATCATATAAAATCATGCAGGTGAAATGGAGCTCATTGCGATCTAATTCGACATGAAGGAATCTCAATCTCTGCCACAGCACACCACACCCTTTTAACCAGACGTCAGTAAGATGCACCTTTGCCCTGGAAATCCTTACAATGAGTTGGTTGATCTTCAGTTTGAAAATACACTCATCCTTACCCAAATAAGACACTCCTTCCTCGGGCGTGATTGTGCCATACTTGACCATCATCTTCACAAAGTCAATCAGTGTTTTCATTATGGTGATCAGAGTTTCTTTTTCCTTTGCATCTTGTTCTGGAAAAAGGGAAAAGTCAATTTCATTTTTCATTTTGTGAATTGGATACAGCTGGGAAGGATGTGCCAAATTCATTTTGTGTGTTCTGGGCGGATGTTCCTGAATGTGAGCTTCCCCCCCTTACAAAGCAGGATGTACAGGATGTAATAAAAAGTATTTACCATTTTATGCACATGAGATAGATTGCATTAAAATCTGATGTATTCCTCCATTTGTCTCTGTTCTTTTTATTAGAAAATTATTCGGTATTTAAATATCATGATTTTTCCCTGAGAAATTTACATATATACTGTATAGGGACAATCTTCACTGCTGAACGTGGACAGTCATTATGTGCTAGCAGTCCCAGGATATCAACTAGAGAAATTAAATGCTTCACCCACTGGAGGCCAGATTGTGAGAGTTAAAATTAACTCGGACTCCAGGGTTAACACCTCTACTTTTAGAGACAGTGTCACAGGATTTTTGATGATAGTAGTAGTCAGGTAGTAGAAGGTAGGGATAGCAGTAGGGACTGTTACTTTAATGAACTAGTCAGAACCGTGGTTTAACGTCTCATCTGAAAGATTTAACGAACAAGTCGCAGTTAACCAAAACAAAGGCTGCCTTTATGTTAACGTACAACCGAAATGTCAGCTCTGGAAATGGTCTGACAGTTATTTGCCATCTAACCTGAATTGAGGCTCTTCAGAAGGTTGTAGAAGTTGGGGAAGTACTGCAGGTCCTGGAGACTGTCCTCGGGAGACAGCTCGTTCCTTTGGTCTGCCTCATTGGGAGGTGCCCATGTGTTGTCCACTGTGTCATCAACGTCCTCACTCACATGCTGATCCTCATACCTCCTGCTGGCCTTCTCAGATACCTGAGATGGGAAAGAGAGTCTAAAGTCAATTGTTGAATTTCCTTTTTCAAGGTTGATTCATACATCGCAAAGATAATCTTACTCCTCATTTGTTGGCACAGCTGAGTCATGCAATCAGGCATTTCTGGTAACTGCTATTGTGATTTCCCAACAGATCAATATCCCACACAACTGTTTCGTATGGTTTTAAAGCTGAATGAAGAAGAAAGCTATTGTCCATGTTTAGTCATCCATAAAGTTCTATTCTCCTGAGTATAGTAACATTATTTGTTGTGAATATCTTTTCAGGGTGTGTTTTTATAAGGATGATAGAGCTTTAACTCAGTTCTACAGTGATCCAACAGCTGTTTTGATGCATGTAAAAAAATGACCGTGAACACATATTTAAAATTGAAATTAAACACATAAAATAGAGATTTAAGTTATCTGTCCATATTATATAGTTAAAGTTTTATACATTATACAGAAAGTTTTTGTTTCCTCTGCAGACATTCAGGGACCAAGACATACTGATTTCTCTTGCTTTTCTCCTGGGTCTTCGGTACTGGAGGCAGGGTAGTCCATGCTGGTGTCTTCAATCTCATTGTTTTTCACTTGATTTGCTATCAGTTGCTGCAGGGCTTCTGCCACTTCATATTCCAGTGTATCTGCCTGGCTTTCTGTGATCTGTAGCAAGGGTTTTGTTTGTGTTAGAAGAATCTGAATTGGTAATTGTATTACTATTTGAATTTTGGTCATTTTTATTACTGTCTTTAGTTATGCTAATTTAAATGTATACTCTTTTGAATAGGAGGTCTGATGTTTTACACATTCTAAACATAAACAGGTTTGGGTTTTGTTTTCTTCTTGAACAATCTTTTTCTGTGCAATATTTACTACAATGATTAACAAAAGTTTTTTTTTATATATATATAAACAAAAGAATTAAACATCCCAAAGGCTGCTAGCATTAATTAAAGATAATTGTTTGAATCCTTAATTCATAAAAACTATATAGGATTATGGAACATAATAGATGTATGTATTTTACATGTGTAATACTTTCAGATACATTTTATATGGGCTGTTTAAAAAAAGTCATACCAATCCCAGGTTTAACAGTTTGGAAACAATTCTGTCAAAAACTCCTCTGTCATCTTCCTCATATATCCTGGTGGCTATTTTCTGGACAATGTCTTCAGCTGTCAGAGGAGTGCCATCCAACTGATGGAGTCCATCTGGGTCATCTGTAAGCAAGGAAGCCTCCAAATCTTTAGTAGATGCAGATTAATTTTGTCATCTGACTACTTTTTGTAGCATTTCAACTTATCTTTACTACATATGTATGTAGTCATTGGAAACTAGAATATTAAAGATATGCCTTATGGAGAATGCACTTTTCAGGCTCTGACTCCCAATCTCACTGATGTCTCTGAGGTGCAAAATGTTGTTAGCCATAATGAAATATCTCTTACAGAAATTTGAAATTTGATTTCAGCACATACATTTATAAAAGTCATGGATAAAAGTCATTATTGAACATCTCTTATAATCTCTCAAACACAAGTGAGATAAAAACAATTGCTCACTACAGAAATGAAGCGTTGTCATAATAGGACAATAAAACTCTTTAAGCTGTGATTTTTATTGCTCTTGATACTTTCAGTATATCTCTTGTATATCTCTGATAGCCACTGGTAAAAAATATTTAGCATGCTGCTGCATTCTCTGAAATAAAGCTTGCACCATATGTGTGGCATCAGCAACACGACACAAGCCACTCAATAAGCACAAGGTCAAGGCAAGCTGATAAGCACAAAGAGACATGCTCAGCAGAAACCGTTTTCTGGTTGCTGACTTTACATCATCACTGGTGTGGTTCTTTACAGCCTTGCTGGCCATTCCTAATGAAGCTACCTGAAAAAAGTGTTTTTAAATATTCCTTTGTTATCTACAGTAGTGGTGTATTTGCTCACACGTTCTTTGGTTCCACATAAATCTAAAGTTTACAGAAACATGTAAAAAACAGCTTAAAAGCTCTGCCGTCTTTAATTTATATATCTTGCTGCTTATACTGAATAAAATGCTTGTTAATAAATGGAGACCAGTTTACTGTAAGGGAAACCCGTAAGAATGTGAATTGTACATTACATTTGCTGGGGAGCGTATATCTACCACTAACAGTAATAATATCTTAAGTTTCTAAAGCTGGGGCAATTAAATTGCTTGGGCTGGAGGTAATTTTCCACACACTGGAGGTGTGGCAGTGTGCTTAGGAAATGGACAGGTGTGAGTTGCTCTTGAGCCACACCATGCTTTTCATGTTTCCAGAGAAATAAACAGTTCTTAGTCTGGGTGCGTCAAGTCTGCACGCAGCACCAATAACAGATGGTGCTTGGATAATCCCATTTTCTTCTCAAATCACCTCTTTCTTCTGCCCTCTTGCCACTAGGCTTCTGATGTCTGGTGTCACACAATATATGCGAGCTTGGTATGCAGGTTTAAGAATCCCACTTTTTAATTCACCCCATTAAGTTAAAGCAACGGACATTACATTAAACACACACACTTTGTGCTAAATATTATTTTTGTTGCTGCTGTATGAAGTGCATGTTCTCCCACAATCCTGTCCATATCACTGTGTACGTTTGCCACCATTCTTAGCCAGCATGATCTAACTTAAATCTGAAAAGCAAGCACGATAATGTGAACCTTCTATACAAAAATATTTAAGCACTGTCTTTAAATCCCTTAAGGGTAAAATTTAATTCCAGTAGCTTACTTGAGAAGCAACTCAAAGGTAACATTTTCTTTCCTCCTGTAATTTAGAACCAGGCAAGCCCCACATGAAATGTTGCAGAGTACTTCTCATATACAAGGTAAATGCATTTGGCTTCACAGTGAGATCTACTGTATGGCTATGGTATTAACGGGGACACAGACTAAATATTTTATAAGGCTGTACAAAAAATGTTATTCCATACCTTGATATCTGTAGTCCATTCCATTTTTGGTGGAGTCATAGTCATCCACGAGTCTTCGGTTCTTAGTTGAATCTGCGTCATCAGGAAAGTAGTGGGTATTGATGGACTTTGAACTTGGAGTCTTGCTGCCTAGATCCTTTGATGTTTCAGCCAAGGACCTAAGCAGACTGAAGTCATCATTGTCTGGATCAATAGTGGGTTCTGTCGATGCTGACTGGTTGTCTATAGTGGAGAAAGTATTAAGCATATGACATCCATCCATTTTCTAACCACTTTATCCGATACAGGGATCGTACGACATGTTCACATGTGATTTCTGCTTAAACATAAAATAAAATAAATCTGCACCATCTACTTACCTTTCGCCACTGATTTGCTAACGCTGTCTGCCTCTGCAATCTGTTACAATGACAAGCGGGAAGAAATATGAATTTCACCACTGCATATCATCAAGCATTTGACCTGCTACTGTCTCTGTTACACGGTGCAGTTTTATTAAAGGATCATGTTTTCCACATTAACATGTGGATGATTCTCTTAACCCTCTGTATTAACAAGCCCCCTTGCTTCAGCTTTCTACAAAAACATATAGATAGCTTTTAGATCTTATTTTCTTGAAATGTTAGGTGCAGACAGAAAAGCGATGTTGAAGGGTAGCAATAGGAAGAAATTATCTTTCAAAACGATTTAATCTTACAAAATCTTTCCCCTTTTCAGAGGATGAACACCACTCAACTCAGTCTGGCCTACTGCACTCCAGTTTTTGAAAAATGGATCCGTGGATCTCTATAGCCCAGGCTGTGATCAGTTTACAGAAATAGAACAGTTCCATCATTATTTTTTCTATTTGCTTGCAGCTTCTGACAGTTTTTAAGGATGACAAAGACAAATGCTTTTAGTGTCTTGGTCTGTATCATGGCTCTTTGCAGGGTTTTACAGCCTAGTGGTTCAAAGCTAAAGAGGTAGGCAGACTAAGCCTTGTACCCTATTATTGTGTTGGGTCAGAAATTGCATGCAAGTCAATGCAATGTTACTTGGGAAGTAATCACAAATGATGTATGCCAATCAATCTACACAGCAGATCAATCTACACAGCGTAATAAATCAGTATACTGTTGTTTTAATAGGAAATATCATTATTTGCATTGAACAACACGTGTATATCGAGAATAATCTGCTCTTTAAAAAAATATAATGTCTTGCTGTGACATTTTCATGCTTTTCACAATGTAAACAACTTACTTGTTCTTGGAGTGGTCTCTCCTCGCTTAGTTGTCTATTGTACACGGCTTTATCTGTAAAAGAAATCATATTATTTTTAAATACACACAAAATGTTGTTTAATGAGCTGCTATAATATAAATTATATTTAGTCATGTCAATGCGCACTATATACTTCTGTGTCCCAAAAACATCATCTGAAAATGATAACCATTTATAATTTCGCACAACCCTTTCCGATAATACTCGTCATAAAAAGGCGGACTAACATACAATGTAGTCTGTTCTTATGAATTTTCTCCAATATTTGTTTAGTTCATTGCTGCATTCTAAACTCTCAGACGGGAACAGCAGTGATATAATCGGATTAAGGCAATCAATGGATTAAACAGCAATGAAAATAGCACACAATCGACTTTACAGGAAGAAATGGAAGTCAAACTCTTTAGTTTCATATAGGATCGTGTCTACCATTTATATCATTCATTAAAATAGTTACTTATTAATCCGTTTCAGTCTTGCGGCAAGGTACTGTACGTGCTTAATATTTTACATTTTAAATCTTGAATCCACTGATTATGAACCAATCGGATATAAAAGATAATCCCCCTTTTCACTTTTACTTGGTGTTTTAAAGTAACGAATAAAATAACAATAACACCAGAAAAATGCGAATAAATATCGTCTTTTATTCTGTTACTTACCACTTGTAACGTCAGGTGTGGGAAAGGCATTGAGCTGGTATAGAAAAACTGAGAAAATCTGAACAAAGAGGAAAAATACCATTCTTTTAGACGCCATTCTGAAAAAGAAGCTGCTGTTAATAGTTGGCGGGGTTGGACCGGAGAATAACTCCAGGGGTGCTCTTATTCCAGGTTATTCAGAAATGTACACCTTAAACTCAACTCGAATATCTTCTTGATCTTGGGCCAGCTCCCGTTTTCGATCTACTGCTTTTTCGGTGACTCTTCTTTGTAACGCTTTGCCTGAGCGCACAGACTCCACAGCTCCGGTGGCGCTAAACCGGGTTTTGAAATTCACTCTGCGGAGCTGTTCAGCACCAGCGGTGCTGAAATCAGGTCGCCTGCTCTAGTTAAAGGGAAATGAGCTGGTAGGCTCGCAGGTTATACAAGTCCTGTCTAAGCCTCTAGCTTGCCAATGGCTGAATGGTACCCAGAAGAAATAGATCTGCCTCCTTCTGACAGACAATCGAAGAGGTGGACTAAAGAGAAAATCCGCCCATGTGCGTCAGCTCCCACCAAACCTGCGTCAGTCCATCCCTGAAAACGCCTTTCCCAGCTTCGATAATAGGAATCCCAGATTTGCTGTTTAATAGTCAAACAGTGCTCGAAGTTCAGTGATTTTTTAACATTAGGAAATACTGCCGCACTGCTAATATTTAAACATCCATAAAACGGCATATAATACAGTAAATATAAGATTAATTAATATTAAATACACTACACAATCTAAATACACAATACGCAATACACGAAAAGCGAAGAAGTGGGCGTTACTTAATACAATTATATACTTAGTACACTATATTAAGATATAGATGATTTAAACTGCAAAGAAAAATGCCTTTCATGGTCAACATGTTTTCCCTTAGTGTTTTGTTACTATTGTGAAGCATTTACAATGGTTTTACAATGAACTTTTAAACTTGAGAATCGTAAATAGACTTTTTTTTTAGCGTCGCACTTACTATTCTGAGGCAACACTGGCTTGTAAACCTTTAAACCTCAGGCCATAACAGATCGCATGAAATGAAACAGCTGTTGTAGAATTAGTTCCCGCGGCTCATTCCGGGAGCGACTGGAAATATTATGTAATGTAGTGCACACCGTCCCTTGATGAGGTGGCGATTTAGTTCAGACTAAAATAACTACATGACAGCACTTTGAATATATCAAGTCCATTGTCTGTGATATTCTTTCAGCATGTTGGTATAGCGGATTTAAAAAAAAACGAACTATCACTCTGTGTTAATGGACAGATTCGGGAGGAGCAGAAGTAGGAAAAGATATTGGTACTAACTGCAGAAACGGAGTTACTGTAAGTAATTTAGTTAAGGCGATATCGAATAGCAATGAATCATGGAAAACGTCATGAATTTAACGTTTCTCTTATTTTGTAGTTTATTTCAAAAACGAATTCTGCGTGCACATTTTTACACATCAGTTTCTCACATCAGTTTTCAAATGCAGACACGCTAAATAATTAAACGAAATGTGCTATTCAGTGCTGCCATCTGGTGTTAATACAGGCGCATTATAAGTCTTTGTACTGTTTATATTTTACATAAAGTTTTGCTTCCAAACTAACAGGAAATGACGTTTTTGCAAAATGGCATTCTGTCTTGAATGATAGTAAATGAATTGAATTTGCCCAGCATCGATTTGTATGTTTTTGTTTTAATTGTGCAGCTTTTCGAAATCTACTTTTCTTTGATGTGAGGCAGCTGCAATGAGTGATGTAGTTGAGAAGACACTAACTGCTATTCCAAGCCTTCTGTTGTTGGATTCGCAGCCTGGAGCTGGAAAACTTTCTCTTACTTCAAAATTAGGAAGCCTGATAAGGAATATTACTGAACTGACTTCCAAACATGTGAGTAAGACTTGCTTTCAGCGGTATTTACAGCTGTGGTCTTACACTGTTGTAACTCAATCTGTAGAGTCTGAAGCGTCTTTAGCTGCACTCTTTGGCGACATTTGTCGAAACGTTTTTTACTTGGTACCTTTCAGGATAAAATTAACCTTTACTTGTTCCTTTGCATAAAAATAATATTGTTTACAATGTGTTTCGAGATAGATACGAGGAACAGCAGCGTCATGGTTTAAGTCTGCTCGGTTTCTGGTTTATTAGATGATCTAAGAAACCTCAGTCAAGCCTTTTGCGTTTTTTTACAAAGTCACTTATAATTTCCAATGAAAAAAACTGCTCTTAATTTCCCCAGCGTTTTACGGTAAAACACATTACTCTGCCTTTCATTTTAGGAAGAGGAAAAACTGATTAAAAAGGAATTGTCTGCAATAAGGGAACAAGCGTCATCGCCTAACACGACTCTGGTAAGTACAATGCGGTATGCGGTGAATCATTTCGAGTGCAATTGAGGAGACAATCTAAGACGGATATATAGAAGTACTGTTCAGTTCTAGAAAGACGATAATAAATTCAAGTTTATTATTTTCTGGGTGGGTTCTTTTACAGCACAATCCAGTACAACAATAAAAATAAGGAAGACAACCATTACCAACAGAGAAGACAATACAGTATAATAGTGTTATAAGAGATAAGAGAGTTACTGTACATTGAGAGAGGTTGCAGCAGCGATTAAAGATTTCTTGAGTCTGTTACTTTTACACCTGGGGACACAGAGGTGTCTCCTAGATAGGAGTAGTGCAAATTCACAGTGGAGGGAGTGAGACGCGCACTCCGTAATGCACTCGGTGTTTTTATAGCCTGTTTGTAGAGGATATTTATAATAATAGTAATTGCTTACACTTATATAGCGCTTTTCTGGACACTCCACTCAAAGCACTTTACAGGTAATGGGGACTCCCCTCCACCACCACCACTAATGTGCAGCCCCACCTGGATGATGCGACGGCAGCCATAGTGCGCCAGAACGCTCACCAGGCTCACACCTGCATGGCTTCAGTGGGTTGCCGATTGTGAGTTGCAGAGTGATATGGCCAGTAACATTTAAGTTGATTTGATTTGCCTAAATCATTTTGTTAGTGTTTTCTCTAATTTCCCCCATCTTTTTACAATTAATGGTACTGATGTTGCCAAACAAACAAGCGAGACAGTATGTTAAGAAGCTTTCAAGAAATGACTTGGAGAAAAAATAGTTCTATCTACCTTTAAATAGCTGACTTTTCAAAGAAAAAAGCATTACTTCTGGTGTTTTTTATACATGGTATTACAACATTTGTCCCATCTTCAGGTTTTTTCTATGACTAGTCCCAAGTACTTGTAGTCATTGTCTGTTGATTACAGTATGTTTGAGGGATGTTGCATTTTTCCTAAAATCAATGACCATTTCTTTTGTTTTCAAGACTTGAAAGAGAAAACATCACACCATTTTATAAAATTGTTTAGAATGGCCATATTATTATTTTCTGGGTATTTAATAAGTTGGCCAGGGTTGTGTCATCAGCAACAGCTGGCAACCCACTGAAAACCGAGGTCCTGAATCTCTGTGGTCATTAAAAAACCCAGGGTGTTTCTCGAAAAGAGTAGGGGTGTCACCCCGGCATCCTGGCCAAATTTCCCATTGTCCCTTACCAATCATGGCCTCCTAATAATCCCTATCTATAAATTGGCTACATTGCTCTGCTCTCCTCCCCACTGATAGCTGATGTGTGGTGAGCGTTCTGGCGCACTATGGCTGCCGTCACATCACCCAGGTGGATGCTGCACATTGGTGGTGGTGGAGGGGAGTCCCCATTACCTGTTAAGTGCTTTAAAGTGGAGTGTTCAAAAAAACGTTATATAAGTGTAAGCAATTAATTAAATTATTAAATGGAACGGGATGTCTTTCTGTGAGCTTCCTCTTACAATTGTTAGTGTACGAAATGGACAGTAGGGGGGGCAAGACACAGCTTTGTTGTGATCCAGTGGAAGTATAGCAAGTGTTAGGTAACTGTTTTCCCAATCTGACCTTTTGAGACCTGTTTAAGAAATCTGGGCCCCATCTTATGTTCCTGTGAATTGAACTGAAATTCTCTGAGAGTTTTTGTGCAAGCAATGATGGTTGTATTGTAATAACAGCAGATAAGAAATCAACCAGTGAGGCCCTTACAAATGTGTTCTGTAATTGTCACCGTGTTTTGATATTGAGGAATTTATTCTTTTATTTCAGAGGCAGATGAAAGAAATTATGGTGAGGGCAATCTATTGTGAAATGTTGGGATATGAGGCCTCTTTCAGTTACATTCATGCCATTAAATTAGCCCAGCAGGGAAGTGTTTTGGAAAAGAGAGTTGGTAAGTTCTGCAGTGTGTAGTGATTTTAATTATAAACTTATCTTTCATTGTTTCTCCTAATTTCTCAATTTTCCTTTCATTAAATTACTCATTACCTTTAAATAACATATATTTGAACTCTGAAAATGAAAAGACAGTGGCAAAAAAAAACTCAGAGAAACTCCACAGAGTAAACTATATACAAATGCTTCGTATCTACGTGTGTATATTTAATTTTTATGACATGTGCACGGTCTTCATTCTATAAACATTTTTTTCCTGTTTTATTGAGTATTTACTGTAAATGGTTATTTTCTTATTTCTTACGTTGGTTTCAGTTTTGTTTCCAGCATGAAATGTGTAAGTCGTCTTCCTATTCATCTCTGTGTCCATATGTCATATTGCCTTTACCATTAGTCAGTTGTCACAGCTGAGATGTACTTTAAGTACTGAAATAGTTATGTATTCTCAGGTTACCTTGCTGTGTCGCTATTCCTGAATGAAAGCCATGACCTATTGCTCCTGCTTGTGAACACAGTACTAAAGGTATTGTACTCTAAACAATCTTAGGAGCATTTTTTAAAACTTCCAAATATATCCTGGGTAACAAGTGTTTTCTTTTCTGTTTTAGGATTTGCAAAGTACAAATCTCATTGAGGTTTGCATGGCTCTGACTGTGGCCAGTCAGATTTTTCCGAAAGACATGATACCTGCTGTTCTTCCACTCGTTGAGGACAAGTTAACACATTCAAAGTATGATTTACAAATAACTTTTTTTTGGGGTGGGGGGACTGAACAAAAGGGGCAGTTGCTGTTTTTCCAAACAGAGGAGTGGATGGATTTTCTTTAAAATCAACAAGTATAAAAGACAGAGATGTGAAATTTGCATAACGATGCTGAGACAGTTTTTTTTCTTACACGATATTTGCTGGCTTGTATATGAAAAGTACAGCAGTCAGCATTCCACTATGTTAACAAGCTGCTTCCATCTCCAGTATTGAGGAGCATGCAGTTTTAGGAGCATAAGAGAGGTTCCGTCATCCCATCTCCATCCCATTTAGCTGCTTCTTGAAAGACACCAGGGTATTTGTTTCAACAACATGACTGAGTAGCCTGTTCCAGATTTATTTTGGAACCGATTTATGTTTTCACTGTGTGTGGTTTTATTAACATTTACATTAACAATGAACATTTTCTCCTACGGTTTTTCAGGAAGAGGCAATACAATTTGACAGTGTTTTATTTTTCGCCTTGCAGAGAGATAATCCGGAGGAAGGCTGTGCTCGCCCTCTACAAGTTCTATCTTATTGCCCCCAATCAGGTGCAGCACATCCATGACAAGTTTCGGAAAGCCCTGTGTGACAAGGACCCTGGGGTAATGACGGCCTCTTTGCACATTTACTTGCAGATGATCAAGGTGAGGTGGGTTAATTACATCGGGTAACAAAATGAATATTGTTGTGCATTTCAGTATTTTTTTTATTGAAATTGCCAGTTACTGTCTCCCAGTTTGGAATTATATGTATCAGCTGTGTGTTTTTCGCATCTGTGAACCCCACAACCACACACAGGGGTGAATGAGGAAGTGTGGGTAGACATCACCATGCCCATCGTCAAGCCATTTGTCTTTTTTAAAATGTAATGGGCAACACAGCCATAGAGGGTTTCTGGACGTCCAGGGCTGAATACAGAAGAGGCATGTCCCTCACAGATGGCACCACGTTCCTGCAAAGGCCCAGGAGGCTGCAGGGGTAGCTGTCTTGCTGAGAGAGCCCTGGCTGACTTACCCTGTCTGTATCCTGTTGGGAGCTGAGATATTAGTGTGCCATGCTTTGGAGAACCCCAGTCTCAGTTTGTGTGTAACATGGCTGCCTTGATCTCAGAACTCAAACTGCCATCAGGCACTCAGAGCTTTTACCATTTGAGCCACCCGGCCACTGTACTTTTTAAAAAAGTTTGTTTAAAACCTCATTCAGTGAAGATGTGATTTCGTTTAACTATATCTGGTTGCACAGTTGCCACACAGCAGTAAAACGTGGTAGGAAATGTTTGCTGCTTTCCTACCAGAAATTTACCAGCGGTTCCTTCAGAATTTGTAATAAACATAACTGGTATGGAAGACGCATGTGCTGTAATTCTTTCAAACTTGGCAACTAAAAAGAGGTAATTTCTGTTTTGTATGTTTACCTTCTAGAGACATTAATGGATTTCTGCAGAAGTTTATTATTTTAAATCTTTGATGAAATAAAATTTGAATTGAGTAAAAAATATAACCAACTTGTGGCATTTTTAGTCATCTACTACTGGGCCAGTTGCTTCAAGATGTTGGGCTTTTTTTTCTTAAATTGAATAAAGGCAATGTTCTAAAGGAAAATATACATTTTTTCCTTTGTGTTTGTTCTTGCCTAGAATTGAAAGTAAAATTAATGGCTGTCGTCAATAAGAATTTGTCTTGTGTGGGGTGTGTCAAGCAGGGAGATTTGACCTTGCAGTGAAGGAGGGGGATAGTAATAGGCCTTAAAATAACACATAGAATTGTTTATTCTGTTTACAGAAAACAAATCTAGAGGCAGCTAGCTAATTACTACCCTGTACACAAAACAAGAGCTGTTTTTACCAGTATGCTGATTTTTTTTCATTTCAGGAGAACCCAGGTGGCTTTAAAGATCTGACGGGTAGCTTTATAACAATCCTCAGACAAGTGGTGGGAGGGAAGCTCCCCATTGACTTCAATTACCACAGTGTTCCAGCTCCCTGGCTGCAGATTCAGCTGCTCAGGGTACTGGCATTGCTGGGGAAGGATGACCCGAGGTGAGGTAACTCACTCTGACACTGGAGTCGTTATTGCATGGAGAGACACATCTGGAATCATTCCCTCTTACAGGCGTAAAAGAGCAACATGTTTACAGATGTGTAATGTTAACAATTATGATCATGCCTAATCTAGACCTTAACACTGCATTTTGAATGACTATATTATAGTTTTACATGTTTTTCTTTTTGATTTGCAGTGCGAGTGAAATAATGTACGATGTCTTGGACGAGTCTCTGCGAAGGGCTGAAATGAATCATAATATTACTTATGGTACGTTAAACTGATTGTTAGTTTCTATTGCATTAATTACAATTTGCATAGGTATGGTTTACTTAAGACTGTAAATTTACCTTTCTTATCTCCCCAGCTATTTTGTATGAGTGTGTGAGGACTGTCTACACAATCAGCCCAAATTCAGATTTGTTGGAAAAAGCAGCTCAGTGCATTGGAAAGTTTGTTTTGTCACCCAAAATTAATCTAAAATACCTAGGTAAGTAAAATGTACATTGAAGTACCTTATGTGATGCATTTGGAAATTAATAGCTGCAGCATTCTATACGTTATGCGATTATGATTTCGTTTTTTGGAGGACTTTAAGTATATTTTAGAAATTTGAAATACATCCTCTGTTCTGAGGTTATCTACAGAGAAATACTGATAAATTTCCTTGTCTCTGATTCATATAAATTTAAAATGTTAATGTCTGTAAGATGTGTTTGAAAAAGAACACGAATGGCAGAGAGACTCCACGGACTTCTACTGTCTGGATGCTTTTAAATTTTTCTCAATCCAGGGGTCAGTTAGCTGTAATCCTGCTCTTAGCATAAGCCATAACCCAAACTCTAGGCATCTCTCACGTATTTACTGATGTACTTTTCCATAGGTCTGGGTGTATCGAGAAAAAATAATTTGCAATTTTATTTTTTTAAAGTGTATTGTCATTGATCCTTCTCTTGGAGTTTCATTTCTGAGTCAAACATAAGTCACTAACTGTCACTAACAGCTGGATGTGTCTTTCTAATTTAGGATTGAAAGCACTTACCTATGTAGTCCAGCAGGATGCTAATCTAGCCCTTCAGCATCAGATGACAATCATTGAGTGCCTGGATCACCCTGACCCCATTATCAGGAGAGAGGTGAAGAGCTTCTTCTGCTTTGCCTGCTTTGGATTCACAATGATGCGCAGTTTCAGAATGAAGTTTGTATGATTGAGATTAAGCTTTAGCCAGCACAAATCGAAAAAGCTTGAATCCTTTACTTCACCATCTGAAAATTCTGCTTATGCCACCCAAGAAATTTAGGACTTGGTTTCTGATTTTATACAGTTAAAATTGACATTTGTATAAAAAGGAAAGTGTAGTCTTCTTTATAAGGAGATGTATTTCATGATCTACTGTGTGCAGTTTCGGAAACTGAAACCCAACATCAATTATCTTAAATAAAATCTTTGCATGATTTTACATTCAAGGCTCCTGTTAGATCTTTAGTGCAGATGAATTTACTTCAAATATTTTGACTTTTTTTTACAGACGCTGGAGCTGCTCTATCGGATTACCAATGCCCAGAATGTGACCATCATTGTGGAGAAGATGCTGGATTTTCTGAGACAGAGTAAAGATGAATATACGACCATCGACTTGGTGGGAAAGGTGGCAGAGCTGGCTGAGAAATATCCTTTCCTGAGTAATTGGTGAATTAACCGCAAGACCACTGAGCAATGTGATCCAACTTTGTAAAAGTCTTGTTAACTTCAGTGCCTGCTCCAGGCTGGATACTGAAATAAAGAGAGAGGCCTGTGATTGCAGTTGTAGGTTGTAGTTATGTGATTACAGATATGTTGTACATATAGATTCTTACTATAAATCTAAAATATAGTTGATTTAATGTACTCATAAAAATGAGTA